GTAATTCCATTGGCTCCTTAGGCTTCACTGGCGTCGCTGGTGTTTTGCTTCCTCTTCCTGGAATGTGATCCTTTACTGGGGTGATGGGCACTTCAGGCGACACTTCTAGTAAGGGATGATTAGCTTCCTGATTGGGTGCTGACTCGAGGGTTCCATTGACTGCTTGGGACTTCTCTTCCTCTTCAATTTCATATCGAGACCTCTTGCTGCTCGGCCCCACCTCCATTTGCTCATCGTGCATTTCCTCAAGCCCAAACGACTCTGCAAGCTCTGTTATCTCTAAAATATCCCGTCGTTCACTCTCCCTTTGCTGGGTTATGTCTATGTCCTTGATGGCTGTCAGTGTATCCACACATTGCAGATCACAAAACTTTTCCAATGCAGAGACATTATACAGTTCTGCCTTCAGCAATGGGAAGTCATACCTGGAGCCATTGTGGGCGACAAGTGACACTGGTTGTGGAAGATCTAGGAAGAGGTTTATGGCCTCAGCACTAGCATCACTGAAGCCTGGCAAGTGATGGAGCATGTCATTATTAAGCCCTGTGATCTCTTCGAGCTTTGGTGTGATCAGCTTTCGAGGATAATATAGTCTGGTATATTTCTGTAACACACGGGGTAGCTTCGGTACCGCTGAGTAAGTTTTTGTGCCATTGGTTTTACTAACTTCATCTTCTGGGCTGTCTACTTTTTGGCTGTCTTTCATACTCAGTAAATCCTCCCTTGACACAGCTATCAAAGACAATTCCAGAATTCTTGTATCATCTCCAACCAGACCTGTCGCCTCTGTGTCCAGAAACACAAAGGTTTGTATTTTGTTCTTTGTGGGAGGTTCTGGAGTTTCATCCATGTTCACAGGTGCTGCTGCATCCACTGGAAAGAAAATGTGGCAATCAGGGACAAGTTATAAAATATGTACAAAACAGAAATATTCCTGAGTCTACTAATATCACAATGTTTATGTAATCTGAAGTAAATAATAATAACAATAAAAATAAAATATGACTTTAATGATGGTACTTCTAGTTCCTACACTGCTCCTATACTAAACCAAAATTACTACTACACCTTAACACTAATCCATACTAAACTGCACCTGTACTATTTTTTACTCTATATAACGTATTTTGAAAAAAAGTATATATAATTGTTTATTATATTGTCAAATTATCTACAAACAAAGTTAATTACATAAATCAGACACAAACATATTACTTTGTGCTTTTAGATCTGCTACGAATATCATTTGTAGCCTATGTGCAAAGGATTTTTTTTTTGCTAGATTATTAGAAATTAGCATCATGCATGCCAATCTTCCGGGGGATAAGGATATACAAGGCTTGTGTCATATATAACGTGTAATATATAGGAACTGTTAATTCTACATTGTTAAAGGGACAGTCACTATATAATCTGAAGTACCCTTCACATGGGCCCTAGATTTTTTCCTGTTTATTTTCTGATTCATATCATACTACATCTTGAGTTTGGGCTCAATAGGAAATGAGGAAATTAAATAAAAAGTGAATTCATATCTTTTCTCATTTCTCGCACCATTTTGTCAGGCTAACTCAGCACAATAAACAACTGACGAATACAACCGATAAGAAATTCCTCAAAATGGCATGTCCAGACAAGAGAATTAGCACGATCCATGATGATATTGAAACTGGAGGGGAATGGCGCACGCTGCTCTCATGGATGTAAACAATCTTGCCAACACTTAAATTTTTTTTAATGATTTCAATGAATAATGAATTGCATAGTATAAAACTAAATCTATTCTCATATTCTTAAGGTTACAATTCATTTTATTAAACATAGCTCCAAACATTCTCAAATGCAGCCCTTGATATGACTATACCCAGACTGTAAAGTTTTTCAATTGCATGAAGACTCCTGGTAGAAACCACAATGCACAAACTAGATTTATTGAGGAAAGTGAGACAACAGTTTCGGAATCGTCCTCAATTCCATCTTCCATCTTTAAAAAATTGCATGGAAATTTTTTTTTTTTCACAGACATCCCTGTGAACAATATTAAGGCAATTCTGAGCTCAGAATGCACAGACTTACCACAAAATTCCATAATTAGGAGAATTATTGTCACCGCATAATAATGAGTAATTGGGAATGCATCACCATGAAGTGAGAAAGAGGTCTGGGAACCAAACGGGCATATAGAACTTGGCAAAATAGAACAGAACGGGCACATAGAACTTGGCGAAAAGCATGAGCCTCCATAAAAAATGTGCTGGTAACCCAGTGAACTACTAGCATAATCTGCGTGGAAATAAGCCGCAGAAAAAACTGCGCAGATGGAAAACAAGGCAGAAATTGTTTTGTGAGGAACAGTGCCAGTGAGACAGCACCTTGAAATTTTACTTTTGGACTCAAGGTAGACATGGCAACGTACAATTAAAACCATTATTGAGTATTAATACCTCACACTCCTTCATCTAATTTAGAATGTATATGTCATAACAGTTACCATAACTATACTTGATATCACTTGCACTACAATCCATGGAAATTAAATATAAAACTTTCCCTTATACTCTTGCGCAACTGTCAACGTTACCAAGTTCCGAAGAAAGTTTCCTGCATCTAAAAAGCGAAATAATACATGTATTTCAGGCAAAACAACTAATGGAAATCATGCAAATTTACATTTGTGACCACAATAACAAGGACCACTACTCCTCATTGTCTGTTAATAGAAGAAAAGGGAGATTTTCCACAAACTTACTCTCGCATGATATCCAAGCGTGTTATTGTTTATTGTTTACAGACGCTACTACTTCGAGAGGCTCAGGGGGCTAGCTATAGTTTTTACAATTGTATTTCTGACTATCAAGATTATTATTTTTACCGGGTATTTATCAGATAAATGGATTTTTATCTGATGTGAATACCTATCATTTCTGATGATATTTCGAGAAAGAAATATATGTTGAGAAACTGAGTTTATTGATATGAAATGAGTCTTTAGCTAACTCCATCGGAGTATTTTTGTCTACATGAGGGATTTCTTAGCTGGTGGATATTTCTCCTAGTTTTTATATTATTATGGTATGATTTTTAATAAAGAAACATGACTGCGAAATTTATATGAAGACTTGCAGATGATATTTGTTTAGATACAGTCTCCCTTAACTCTCCCAAGTAAAGTGAGAACACTAATATATATATATATATATATATATATATATATATATATATATATATATATATATATTATATATATAGTATATAGATTGTTATCATTATTGCTATTATCATTACTACCTTTTTATTATCATTATCAATATTTTATTTCCATTATCATTACTGTTATTAATAACCCTTCTCCTTATCATCATCATCAACATTATCAACACTAATAATAATAATAAAGACAATAGTGAGCGATTCCCATTTGCTTTACACACTGTATCCCTCGTATTTACCAAACAAGTCCGGTCACGGTGTCGTCGGCTGCGAGTTTCATTCATTCACGTTCATTCACGTTTCAGGATGGGGATTGGACACAAGCATGTCCAGTTTGTTGGAAAAACGGTCTTGGTGCGAAATAATAACATTGAGGAAGGAATGAGAGTAGTTAATCGGTGAGAAGCTTGATAGAATGTACAAGGAAATAATTGGACAGATTGAGTTGTATATCTTTTATATAATGCAGTATTGTTTATTTTTTGGGTTTAGGAGGCATGCTTATGCGTATATAAACGTCATTGTCGGGTATTAAGTACAAACCCAATCCTTAACCCAGAATCTAACCTATAACCCAACCTAAGACCTAACCTAACCTAACCAAATCTAACCTATAGCCTGACCATTAGGTTAATAAAGTGGTAATTTTCAAATAAGGTAACATAACACTAAAATTTATAAGAAACAGATATCATATATTTAGACACACTCCCTGATCCTAAACTAACCTATAACCTAACCTAACCTATAGCCTAAGCTAACCTAGCTTAACCTAACCTAACTTAACCTACAGGCCAACCTAGCTTAACCTAAGATATAGCCTAGCCCAACCTAACTTAACCTAAGCCATAGCCTAGCCCAACCTAACTTAACCTATAGCATAACTTAACTTCTAACCATTAACCTAACCTAACGTATAACCTAATCTAACCTAACTTAACCTAACCTAACTTTCAAAGAGGCAGGAATAACGCCAGGGATTGCTTGTATAATTAGTAAAGTGCTAAATATCATCCACTTTTTTCTTATTATATATGTTTTTTATTTTTTTTTTTGTGTGTAGGCATGCAGGATTATGTGTGTTCGTTTGTTTTGAGCTTAATTTCCTGCAGTTATTTATTACTGCATTTAGAGATAGTGATAAAGACCATGCTGGTGTTTGATATATATGTGTGTATGTTGGTGTTCTTTATCTTCCACATTTTCCCAGAGTAATAAAACTCAATATTCCTACAGGATAATGGGACGAGAAGGCCTTTTTGAGCAGTACAGATTAACCAGATATTATGAGAAACCATTCCAGGTATGTATTAGAAAATCTACTCAGTTTATTTATATTTTATATATGCATATGGAGGTATGGCTTTAGGATAGACGAATGTAAATCTAAATACAAATTATACCTGTACATATACATATTGCTAATCTTTTGAATGCATTGAATTTTGGATTTCTTTTCCACAGACCCGTCGTCGCATCAACTTTGAGAAGGCAAAAGCGATATACAACGAAGACATGAACAGGAAGATCCAATTTGTGATGAGGAAAAACCGCCTGAATCCGTGGATTGGATGTGCATGAGTCTCCTATTAATCATGTCGTTTACCTTTATAATTTTGTAAATATATTATATTAATGAGTATGAGTGTTTCAAATCCTGTTTGATTCCTGACCAGTGATTAGACTAAATAAACATACAGCACAGTTAGTGAAATGTAGATCATTTAAGGCAGAAATAAATATGTATATAGAGTCGGATAGCTAGGCAGATCGCTAGATGTATGGACAGGTAGAAATAGAAAGTCAATATACAGAATTTGAAGAGGCCTTCATTAATGGAACAATAAGGAAGGGTATAAGCTGTGTATAGTAATAATGTATGATGGGTTTTGAAACCAAATGAATTCATAATGTTCACTCTTTTTTTTGTGTGTTTCTGTATTGGTGACTTCAGAGGTGCTTAGTCACTAAGGAATTAATTAGAAGTCTACATGACCTTACTTGATTTCACCTTTTTTTTAAATTTTGTTTTAATGCCATTCATACTGATGCTGTTATTATTGTTATTAGTGACATTATAATTATTATAATGTTAACAATACTGATGGCAATATGAAAAAGAATGAACAGGTGATATAGGTAGAATTATTGATTGACTTCTGGATGACTAAGTACTTGTAGAGGCATCCATATATAAGTCCAATTAATCAATGTTAATTGCAATTAATAAACGAGACACAGTCAGCAAGACATATTGTACCTTCCATCCCTGGTGGCATTGAGTTAATGAGTGTGGGGTATATAAATAAAATTCCATGAAAATGATATCTTATATACTCTTGAAAAGATGAACATGATGAACATTGTCCTTGGTTATTGTAAAATTATTTTTTTTTTTTGTAAGTAAATGAAGGCTTACGTAATTCAAATTGTGAGACGGTGACAAAAATGTAAAAAAAATGGATTTATTCTATTTGAAACTTCTTAAGAGGTTCATTTCAAGTAAGGCATTTGATTTCTAATGATATTGTGCAATCATGTAGGTGTTCATCTCAAATTGTCAGATATATTGTATCTGACGTATTCAGGCCACGGCTTATTACCTTCAGTGATGGCAGCTGCATTTCACACTTGGGTATGAAGTTTTGATTGCTTTTTATTCCCTGTTAAAAGTTTAACATTAAAGATGTCACAAAATTATTCCACTTTTTTGACAGCATCTATAAGGACTTCAGTAAAGACTTAATTTCTACGCTAAGCATTTATATAGTTAGTGTGAAAAAGCAATAAAAAATTACATATAAAGGATCTAACAAATATATGAAAATAAAGCTGATTAATTTGTTATAATAAAATGAAGTTTAGAAAATAATATTAACTTGCAGATGCATGATATCCATACATTTATTTACCTTCCGAAATTGAGTATCACAGCTTTCTCGGCTGCTTTTGCACTAAGGTTGGCACTGTTTTCAGTTATGGTATTCTCATGCTTCTGGTAGGTTTTATACTTGTCTTGTTGGCATGACTCTCTTTTTTTTCTTTATTCTATTTTGAGTTGTTATTTGTGGAATAGGTATTGATGCACTTAGCTGTAACAGTGAATTTATGCATAATGGTGGTGGTGGGCAGTTGAGAAAGAGGGGGTATCAGGAAGACCTTTGAGAGATTAAGGTGCTAAAAGGGTGAAAGAGTGTTCATTCAGCAGATAATTTGATAAATATGTATTTTAAATAATTCTGAAAATAACACCCTTTCCTCGACTTCCAGGGTTTACCTCCTAAGAAGTTATCAGAACCATTACAAAACCAGGTAAGAAATAAAACAATATCGGTTAAAGATGATCTTTTTTATTTCAGAGCAGGAAGGGACCCATATCACCATATACCTCTTAGAGGCAAGAGATAACATTCTTGAGAATGAAACTGACATATATTAACATGAAACTAATTTGATAAATCTTCAAATGATTGCACAAATATTGCTGCAGAGGAAGTCAGGTAAGTTTGCTTTGTTACCTGAGTCATAATTCCAAGTGGAAAAAAAAAAAAAAAAAAAAAAAAAAAAAAATGATACTCTTATAATTACAATAGAAAACTGTAAGGGCTTAAGAGAGATGTAAAGAACAACTGACAAAAGTATAATGTGTGTACTTGTATAAACAAAGAACAGAAAATTGATGGAGTTCCCCAGCACTGTGCAGAGCTGTACAGGTGTGTGACATATGGTAAATCATAGTATTGGATATCCCACTGCCTAGGAAAGGTCATTCAAAAATGATCCTTATTACTTTCAGTAAGTTGCTACAATATTGTCCGATATTTATAGTCGGGTGACTGCGTATTGTCTCTTGGTCTTAATGATTAACATATAATACTCTAATCTTACTTTCTGTTTTATTATTTTTTTGATAGACTGCTCTAGTTAATAAATGCACATATTACCACACTGGGACTACTGCCGACTCTTTGTTGGTTCATTTCCTAAATCTACAATGCATGAGCTACTTTAATGAAGTTCTAATGGAAGACTAACAACATTTCACTTGGCTGAAACTGCAACCAAGAACTCAAGGATTTGTATTACAAGGCAAAACACTTTAAGACATGGCTGCTGCGTTCAATAATGGCGCACAAAAGCAAGTCATGCAAATAATACACTATCATACAACTTATTTCAAGGTGTCTTTGTTTAGAATGCTTGTTAAAAAAAAACAAAAAAACTTTTCCGTTCTAGTGTAGTGTAATTTGCAAGAATATTTCACACACTCAAATAGACAATCCTTTTGGTCATTTATATATGCTGTGTCCACTGTGATTTATTTAATGTTTCTTTTCTTTTCTTTTCTTAAAAAAAAAAAAGGACAAAATTTACGGATGGCAGTTTATAAAATCACAATGAAAATGCACCTTAAAAATAGCCACTAATTCTGTATGTACGTTCTTAACATGAACTTAGATTCTTCAGAATTTTTTCTCACTTTCCTTCTAATTCAACACATGCATCAAGCCTTATGAGACATAAGTAAATATTTCCTTGAAAGAGCTGTATTAAATTTAAGAGACCGACAAATCAAAACCTGTTTTTCAAATGGAATTTCAATACATTACAAACGATAGGCTGCGCAGAAGTTAATCGTTCCCCGACCCCTTAGTACACTACCCTTCCTTAATCTTAAAAACAGAAGTGCTCCCAAATTATTGTCATGGTCATCTCGCGCTTCCCCCTAATAGTAGAAGGGAGAAGTCAAATCCTCTATGATCAGTTACGATATGTCTCCTTTACAATTTGGGTCAAAGGAAAATTCAAAGACTTCATTCTATAAAACAAAAAGAAAAAAAAAGAAAGAAAGAAAAAAAAAAGAGGAGGTTCTGAACTGTATATTCATTCCTTGTTTCTCCATTTACCTGAATAAGGACACCATGCACAAAATAGGAATGGAAGCTTATAAGATTCTGACATAATATACATAGGAAATAGTACTTTTCTTTCACACATTTACATATGGTTTAATAAATTACAAAAGATAAATAAGGGATCTGATAAATTAACTTTTTACAAAATATTTGATCTCTTACGAAAATATCATACAAATCATCATTTCTTTTCTTTCTACTTATACATATACTCAAACACTTAAATAAATTAATTTGTATTTAGCCTGGGAGGCAAAGCGACTGATTACCTCAATATGAAAGAAGGAAAATTGATGGTAACACAAAAACAAAAAAAACATTAATAAAGAGAGCACAAAAGGGAAAGAGAGAGTTCTACAGAAAAACTGCTTGAAGAGGAAAAAAGAAAAGAAAAGAAAAGAAAAGAAAAAAAAAAAAACAACAACTACACAAACTATAAACCAATCATAGGTATGTCTGTCAAATTTGGTTTGCAGGCAGTCCATTAAAAACAAGCTACCCAATTATGTTAATAATGATGTATGCATGAAAATAGCAACAAATGAGGTAACAAAACAACTATAAATGATGATGCTATTAGATCCTAATCTACCTTTTACATTGCAGGGTACATAATAATCAATGTATGTATTTTTCCTACTAATCCTCCTGGTTTTCCTCTATAACTACCATTTTCCTTAAATGAATCCAAATTTTCTGGATTCAGCGTCTGTAAAAATATTTCAGCACCCATGAATGAAAGACAGAAAGAGAAAACAACATGACACTTAAGAAAGAGGAAAAAAGAGTAAAAAGAAAGAAAGAAAAAGTAGGATTTACAAAATGATAAAGTAGAAAAAATATATAACACAGCTCCTCTGCTTCTACCTCTCCCTTGAGTGTGGAACAGATAGGTCAGCGGGATCTTTGCAAGCCTGAAAGCTGCCTGTGATCCCATTCTCCTTTTCCCCATCTTGGCTGCGGCTACTCTCAGCGGAAGGAGCTGCCTCAGTCCCTGCTTTTGTTTCCTCGACTACTTTTGTGCCACTGGCAGGGGCTGGTGTGGGAGCTGGAGAGGTGCTGGAGGTTGGGGCTTCCGCCTTGGCCCTGTTATGTGCCAGGTGACTCTTCACCAGATGCCCTGCTGCCAACGCTGACATGAGTGATAGTTCCCCAGCCAGGACTGTTGCTCCTAAGATCTTGGCAAACTGGCAGGAGTTCTCTCCTGGAGTGTCTTTGTGGGCACCTAAAGAGAAATATTTCATAAAAAAATTATAAAAGTTGATGAACAAATATTTATCCACACTCTCACACTTAGATATAACCCCTCTCCATATACAAACACTTGTATTCCAAGTAATAGCTTCTCATATAATCATTATCACCAATATCAAAAAATGTTCAAAGTTACTGTTAAGTGTATTTTGTTTCCAAATCTACTTATAGATAGTATCTTATTCTTCCTTAATACTAAGTATATCAAATTCTATATAGGATACAGCTTATCTATATGCATGTTGTTCCATCTATGCAAATGTATATCTATTTGTAAATATACTTGTATGTGAGTGCATGCTTATCTGTAGGAGTCCAATTGCCTGTGTGTGTGCTACTGTCTATGTGCGTATCTGAGAAATTTGTGCTTGAGTTTGTGTGTGGTTTATTTATGGATTTTTGTGTTTTAGTTTGAGTGTTTCTATTTGTGTTTTTGTTTGTGTGTTTCTATTTGAGTTTTTGTTTGTATGTATTTATGTTTGTTTGTGCTTATGGAATTCTTGTTTGTCTTTTGTAGAAAAGGTAAGAATGAGACTGAATATCTTTACAATACAAGAGATGTATTTAACCAGTCTCAAATATATCTTCATCAGAAATACATATACACATCATGCATTTCTGACAAAGATATATCAGAAATTGGTCAAATACACACCTTGTACTGTGAAGATATTATCATGCATAGCTTTTCTACATTTGTCAACATGAATACGGTTCAGTGTTTGTCTTTCTCTCTCTAAATAGTATATATCTCTAAAAGCTTCTACAAAACACCATGTTGTGCACACATGCAAACCAATTACTCATACTCAAACTATTCATCACTCTATCTGCTACAAAATAGCATTTCCATATTTTCCTTGTAGATTTGAAGCTATGCCCCTTTTACTAGGCAAAATAAATAAGAAGAATGGCTATTTTTTGTTCAAAACTTTTAGTGGAACTACAATATTCTACATAATTGCATGAAGAAAACCATAACTGAGTAAACTGCCTTTTATAGATCATTTGTTACTTATTTTGATCACAGAATTTACTAAATTCTAATCATTCATTTTCAGTGCGCAAAATTATAAGAAAATTCACATCACCTATACATGAATGAAATAAATTCATATACAAACATCCCTTAACTTGTATTTTATATATACTCTACCACTATTAACATCATTGTCCACTTTTTTCAATATGTGATTTTCCTTTCTTTTCTATTTCACAGAAATCCTAAACTTTCACCTATGTCTACACAACTAATTGACTCTCTTACATTTTGTCAGCCATGTAAAATAACTATTAAATTTTCTAATGTTATACCAAGCAACAAATGATATCTTTGAAAAGTTGATTCCTGCACATCTGAGACAAATGAATCATCAAGCATCTATTATAAACACAAGCATTTGAAAAAAAAAACTAAACTAAAATCATAATAAAACAATAAAAATAAACCAACCAAAGGAAAGGACATCAGTTTGCAGGCAATATGAATTGATCCTAAAACTGATCCTTACCCATGGACTGACCTTTGACCCCCAGCATGTTCAGGCAGGCAGACTGTGGGTGAAGTCCCGTTCCGCCTCCGACTGTTCCCACCTCCAGTGAGGGCATCGTGACCGTAATGTGGAGGTCCTCATTGTACTCGCCCCAAGACTCCATCAATGTCATGCAATTGCTGCTACCCACGACCTGGGCTGGGTCCTGTGAAATAGGGAGGATGGTCATACAGGACGGTGTGGTCTTGCCAAAAGACTTATTTACTGTACTACAGAGAGATTTATAGCAACAATAACTTTACTGTGGCATTGATATCTAGCCATGAAATTCCATGATTTTTCCCTCTGCAATTTCTATTATGGAAAAGAGAAAGTAGAAGAGCTCTGTTTTGCTAACAACTTTTTAAACAGAAATTTGTGACTTTGCAGCATATTGAGCAACCTTGGAAAAGTTGACAACTGATATTCAAAAGCACTAAAAACACAAACAAAACAAAATAATGTTTACATAATAAAAATAAATTGTGTTCATTATTCACAATCATAATTCATACCATGTCACTCAGTGTCAAAACCCTGAAGGTTAAGCTCATGATGTAAAAAAAAAAAACAATTACCAAAGGAAGACATAGAGAGGAGGAGCAGGTGAGAAGAAGAGAGGAGAAGAGAGAAGAGAAGGAGAAGGAGAGGAGAGGGGGAGGAGGAGGAGGAGGAGGAGGAGGAGGAGGAGGAGGAGGAGGAGGAAGAGGCAGAGGAAGAAGAGGAGGAGCAGAATGAAGAGGAAGAGAAAGAGGTAAGAAAAAGAGAGGAGCAGAACAAAGAGAAGCGGAAGAGGTAGAGGAAGATGAAGAGAGAGGAAGGAAGCGGAAAAAGCAAAAGGTAGTAGAAGTTGTAGAGGAAAAGGTGTAGGAAGAAGAAGATGAAAAGGAAGTGGTAGAAGAGGAGGAGGATCATAAGGAGGAAGATTGAGAGAAGAAGAAGGCAAACCAACCTGTCCACAAGCGATGTACACAGCAGCCACAATATTTGCAGCGTGAGCATTGTTGCCTCCAATGGACCCAGCTAGAGAGGACCCAATCAAGTTCTTTGTCACATTAGCCTCCACGAGAGCAGCGACTGTGGTTTTCAAGACAGATGTTACCACTTTGCCAGGAACAACAGCTTCACATACTACAGACTTTCCACGACCCTCAATCCTGTGGAAATAAGATTTTTTTATATGTAGGCATGATTTCATTTTTCTTTTGTTAATACATGTGTAATGGTGCATGTTGATATTTGCATAAGTGTATGTCCATGCACACATGTGTGACTTTATGAGCTTTCACATCTAATTCTAGATTCTGAAGACTGTCCAAGGCATACCAGTTTATTGCAGATGGTTTCTTGTCCACACAATAGTTGCCACTGACACTCAAGACTTCAAGCTCAGGAAAATGGATCTTCAAGGCTTTTAGTCCTGCTTCTGTACCCTGAGATGGAAAAGTAACAGTTACTTGACATGAATGATGTATATCATCTTAAAGAGTTACAAATATATTACCATAATCTTTCCTTCTGTGAATGATACAAAGTTCACTATAAAATGGAAGTTACTACATGCATCCTCTTACTTTCTTACAATGGG